CAGGTAACCTTACCTAAGTAATATTTTGCTTTTGTAGAGAGAGATTTCATATGGTGCTTCTCTTGCAGGTAGAGAGCTTTTGGATTTCTTTTGCATTTATCTGCCCAGCAATGTTTGCAGGCATTGATAAAGCCAGTGGGACATAGAGTGTGTGCAGCAGGCAAGTGGAGTGGTCCTCCTGTTGCAGATCTCTTCTGTGCTCTGTAGAAATGCCAGATTTGCTATGTAGTGCATAGTATTATTTATGTTCAAGACAGGCAATCAGCCTTTCTGTGAAAGGACATCAGAACTCCAGTACAGAAGAACTTCTCTGGAAAGACCACGTTACCTTTGGTGGTTGAGTCATCATCCCTGGATGTGTTTAAGAACCGTTTGGATGTGGTGCTCAGGGACGTGATTTAGCGGAGAGCTGTTAGAGTTAGGGTAAGATGGTTGGGTTATGGTTGGACTCAATGATCTTTAAGGTCTTTTCCAACCCGAGCAATTCTATGATTAATCTGTAAAGTCTGTTTGACTCAAACTCAAAGATGAGCAAACGAGAATGTCTGGGGAAAACTGAGAATAATGCCAGTGAATGTATAGGTGAAAAGAATGCATACTTTAAAATGTGAGAGTTTGATCCTGTTGGTTACTTTGGTTTTGAGACTGCGTAAACATACGTGGGGTATTTTTCAAGTAGCTCCAAGTTACAAAATACGGAACAGTGGTGTGGAAATGACCCAGAATCTATGATTACAGTTCCTGTCACCAGAGGGCCTGCTCCTTGCTGCTTCTGATCTTGTTGAGATGACAAAAAATGCAAACATTAGACCTTAGGAAAACTGTCCTATTGTGCAAGATGTAAATTAATGAATTCAACGCTTCTGTTACAGTTTCACTATAAATGCACAGAACCCTCGTAGTCAAAACTAATTTATGATATTTACTATTTTTTTGCGTTTTTCAAAAGGTCTTCACTTAAAAATCAATCTTGTATATGCTTACTGCTACTTAAAATTGAGCAGGGTTTCTCTAGATAGCTTCTCCGTTGAAATTTCAGGTACTTATGGGTAACTACTGTTAATTGTATTTAATTTACGTGAAAACGTATTGCAGAAATTTCATCTCTATTCCTTTGATTGTTAGCGTGAAGATGAAAAAATGTGGGTCACTGATAGTTTTGTTGTAGATAATGTTTGTTGTCCCAGAGTAGGCAGACTTTGTGGGCCTTTCATTCTAAAACTTACATCCAGCACACTGTATTTTTATTGTTTAAATCTATGAACCTTACGCATCATCTGCTTTTCTATGCATAAGATAAAGATTTAGAGATTTTAATCGAGGAAAAAAACTAACAACAGGTCATCAGTCATTTTATCTTCTGCCCCTGCCAAATATGGCTGAAATTTCTTTCTGTTCAAAACTGGCAGTGCAGAACAGAACCCCTAACTGCAGGGTTATGATCATGGGTGTTTCTTTCATTCATGTGTGCTTTTTCTTAGGTGAAAGACTCAATTTATTTCTTGTTTAGTTAAGTACTGCAGAAAAAAAGATGGTGCTTGAAATACAGACGTGGATCAGTTAGAGTGCTTCAGCGGAAGACTGGGACTGTGATATTTGATGTTGCTATGGGAAACTGCTTTGTGAGAACATTTGCAGAGCAGATGGACCAAGATAGATAAAACAGATACAGGTATTGAATAGAGATTGTGTAATGTTCTGTGAAACAACAGAAAAACATGAGCTGAAATCTGTGTAACATACTTCCTCGATTCATCTTCCTTTTAATGGATATACTGCAAGCTACAATTTGAAAACACAGCTCTTTGTAGCCAACTCACTGTGTTTTCTTTTAAATGGTATAGTATGTTTTCATGGTGTTTCACTTCCATTGAATTGAAACAGCTGCCTGATTGGAATAGTTCAGCAGTGAAGGTTTCTCAAAGTTTTGGGCTTTATAACACGTGGAAGGAAATGGCAGTATTTATCCGCCCCATCTTCTGTTATATGCAAAAACAATTGCACCCTAACTTAATGCTGTTGCACTTCTGTTTGAACAAACCTCTGAAGTTACATGAGTACACAAACACTACGGAATGGACACGCTTTGTGTTTCAGATGTGAAGATTTTTGTAGCCTAACATAGTCTTGGCTATTGAGAGCTCTTCTGCATCCGAGCTTTATTTCCTTGTTAATAAATAAGTAAAATGAATACCCATCCTGCTTAAAAGTAAAATGTGTTTGAAATTGCTGGGTGCAGCGTTGGTTTCCCTAGGGACGTGATACCTGTGGTACCCAAAGATACCCATGTGTTGGCATACACACAGTGTGCTTTTGTAGGGGTGCGTATGTGCAGGAATGCTCTGTTGACCTAACATAAATTTTGTGTTCTCTCTGGCAGTGAATGAAATAGTCACGTGCTATTTAATTCTGCTCTCAGAAAAATAGCTAGAGAATTTGGAATATATTTAGTAGCTATATCTTCCTGAAAGCCAAAAGGCAGACCTGTGAAAGAAAAAAAAAAATCTGAAAAAATAAAACCTGTTCTCCTGAGAATTGATGATTTCAATTGCTAAAGGATTTTTTTTTTGTAAGTAATTCAAAATTATATGTAAATACATGTACTTTTAAGCTTTAGTGTATCTCTCCTTCTATTCTTGATGAGTTATAAAACTTACTCCATGGGTTGATTTCTGCATACTGTTGAAGCTGTTCTTTGGGTTATGCAAATAGAAACCTGTGACTACACAGCCATCAGTGTTTTTCATCAGAGATTTCATTAGGAAATACCACGCCACTGCATGCTGTATAGATGATTTGTTTTCTAGAGCGTATCTTAAAGAAATCTTTTGAGTATGAGGAAGGAAACAGCCTCAAGTTGCGCCACGGTAAATTTAGGTTGGTTATGAGGAAACACTTGTTTACAGAAAGGGTTGTGAAGCACTGGATTGGGCTGCCCAGGGAGGTGGTTGAGTCACCGTGCCTGGATGTGTTGAAGAACTGTTTGGATGTGGTGCTTGGGGTCTTGATATAGAGGAGAGTTCTTAGAATTAGGGTAGGATGGTTGGGTTGTGGTTGGACTTGATGATCTTAAAGGTCTTTTGCAACCTGAGTGATTCTATGACTCTGTTTCTTATAATTTAAAAAAAAAAAAAAATTCATCTGCTATGTTTGTTGTTAATCCTACTGCTGTCATTGGTGACAGTTGTTCTAACACAGGGCAGATTGCTGTGGGCTGGCTTCATGGTAATGGCATGGTGGCTCTTGCTCAGCTGTGCCAGTGCATTCCAGTTATTCCAGGATTGCTTATACCTTGCTGTGTTGCCCTCCAGCAGATGCTGGGTAATTCAAGTTCCCTATGAGCTCCAGAGACTGCAAAAGTGGGGCTTCTTGCTGTAACGTGGTAAAAGCCTCATCTTTTTATCGTGCTTGCTGACCCACTGATCCTTAGCTGTCAACTCTGAGGTAGCTCATGTCTATCTTGAAGCGGGGCTGCATGCATTTCCCGTGTCCTGTCATGGAAAGGAAAACGCCTCCTCTTTGTTTTGCTGGCAAAGAGCTGGTATCCTCCAAAGCTGTGCTCAGCCGTGCAGTCTGTCCTGCCTCTGTTTCTGTGAGCCCAGTGTGTTTATAGTTATGCTACTGCACGTAAACTTTTTGAAGTACTTACTTAGATTTCTGTGCAATGAACATCAGTGGACAGGCCCTTCGGCCCTTTGGACATGCTGGTTTTCCAGAAGAGAGGTTGGAGAGCTTTCCCAACGTTTCTACCTGGTAGGCATTTCCCTAAGTACATGGGTGCTGCCCTGCTTGTCTGGGAAGTACTGAGAAGGGACCACAGCCGTGTAGTCAGCGTTTGCTGCTTTACTGGTTTCTCCTGACATCACTGTCTCACCTTTAAGCAGCCTTTCTGTGACACCAAACTCCCAGAAAGAAGCCATCTTCTCCAGGCCGCAAGTTGGAGGCCAGCTGGGGGTCTCAGCATGGAGTTGCCTGCTCCTGAATGACTTGTGTTTGGTTGGTTGGTTTGGGTGCTTCCCTAGACCGAGCTTGTATTTGTTCCCCTTTCAAGACAGCTAGCTCAATTAAATCTTTTATTATATTTCACTTTTCGGCAAGCAAATATGTAAAAAAAAATTACTAGTGAACTAATTATGTATTTTGGTCTTTTTGTTGTATTAAGCTTTATTTATCCTTTATAAATTTATTTATCCTTTATTTATCCTATATATAAATGTCTGCAAAAAGGCTTTTTCCACCATCGTGGTTAATAAATGGAAGCTCATGTGTAGTTTTCCTATGAGATCCTAGGAGATCAAGATCTCCTGTGGGATCAGTTTGAGAGTCCACAGAAATACGAGTGGGAACCAGTATCTAGCATAGGAAATGATAAATATTATTTAAGACTGCTGTTCAAGCCCTGTGCTAGAACTATTTGTATGTAGGTTGCTTGGAAGGTAATGCTGCCTATTGATTTCCTTGAAACTACAGAAGATACAAAGAGCACAGTATGACAGAGCAAATTCTCAGCTACAGAATACTATTGTTGAACATAGTCACCACCAGCAATGGACAAGAGCCTGCATGCCACATTCTTGCAGAAGCACACCACGCACCCTCTGCTTTACTGTGCTCACATTTACTGTTTGGTGTTCAGCAAGTGTCTCTGGGTGCCATTTTTTCCTCATGGAGGAATTCAGTGATGCTCATTTGCTTCGTGCTCCCGTATCAGAATCCATTTTGTCGGACGGTCCCTCTGCTGTCATCTGTCACAACAACATGTAGTGAAGGGAAGGTTCAACCTCTGCTGCTGTACCACCACCATCTGCCTCTGGCATCGTGGGCCAACGTAATAAAATTGGAGGCATTACTGCCAGGTCAGCCCTTATGTGATCTGAAAGACACTGGTATTAATATTTTTTCCAAAGTTTCACTGAATGGTTTAAGGCTCTTTATATACATTATATGATATTTCAATTTAATACAGTTAGTTTCATATGACTTGTTTCTGTTTGTTCTAGGAAATGAAACCAGGAAGTCATGTGAAGGGCCATGTGAAGCTCCTGCATACCAGAAATTTGCTAAGAGATTGCTTCACCTGTAAGTTCTACTTTTCTGTTGTTAAACGCCAAGTTATATTGACATTTCTGAAAAAAAAAAACAGATTTATTTTGGCATTTTGACTTGACTTGTGAAGAAAACCCAGCCCAAATGCCTTGCGTTGAATCTGTGCCATTATTAATTGACTGCATTTCATAGGGCAAATAGGCACATTTTTCTGCTAGGATTTTGAATGGAATGATTGATTTCCTTCATGTTTTATCATTACAGATTATGCTTGCAGTATAATATATGCTAGGCTGCAGTAGCTTAGTTTTCAGAAACTCCAAATGAAGGATAGAAAATAGCCAAATTTGTATGAAAGCATGGAAAGATTGCCTGTGCAGACAGGTGCCTGCGGTGGCTCGAGCCCCTTCTGAAATGGTCTTATTTTCAGAGTTATTAAATGATATGATAGCACCACTTCCAGTCTTGCTATTTGTAGAAAACAGTTTTCTTTGAGCTATGGAGAAATCATTTAATTTTATATACTCTGCTTAACAAAATCCACTTAAGAATATAAACTTTTGTTTTCAACTTGAGTTTAGTTGTCCGTGTGAAAGTATTTATTATGTGTGAGAGAAGTGAACTTGGCCTCTCAACACTGCTGCAAGGAAAACATTAGAAATCCCATTTTACCCAAAAAAAACAAAAGCATTTGACTGACTGGGTTTTTGCAGATTGATGCATCTTTGGGCAGAGCTGAATTCAGAAGCTCTTAGTCTCAATCAGGAGTTATTCTGCAAGAATAAATTATGCCATTGGGAAGTGTGACGTTTCATCTTGAAGGAAATGGAGAGTTCACAGGACAATTTGGCAATCTGGAATTGAAATAGTATGTTAATTATCACCATTGTTTATGTAATTATTATTATGTAACTGAGCATAATCTCATTAACAAGTTCCTAAGAACTGTGGGAGGGAAAATATTAACTGATAGTGCTTCAGAATTGGCTATGTCTGTTTTGTACTTGAAAAATAACTGTCTTAATTCTGTATTTTTAATCTAGCACTCCCTTTGAAAGCAGTGGCAGCTCCTACAGCTGGGGGCAATGTGTAGGGAGTTCAGTTTAACATAAGCTGCAACTAAACTAAAACTTGCTAAGTGTAGTCTTCCACAAGTCAAATATTTTTATGAAGTATCAGAAATGTTTTGATATTTGCATATAATTTTCTTGAAATAATTCCTTCGTGTGTCTTCATGGTTCTGATATAACTGTTGAAACAACCACAAATTCAGTGCAGATGCAAAGATTTCTGTTACAAATTTGAAACTGAGTTCTACTTTTTTCTGTGTTGCAAAGTAAAAATGGAACATTATTTTCTTCATTCTGTTACTGTTCTCACAGTGCTGGGAAACTTCAGCAATTAGTCCTCTGCTATCTGAAGTATATTGACATTGAAGGATGTCCCTTGGTTTCATTAGGGAATCTGGAGGGGATATTCCAAGACATTTCTAGGAAGCTTTTCATTAAGTCAGTGAAGAGAGAAGGGAAACTGCTGCTCTGATCATGCTGCCTTAATAACTGAATTTGTCTAATTTTCAGTACTGTTCACTAGATTGAATTGCTTTGCACTTCTTGGGCAAGTGGATTTCCTGCATCTTAACTGTAGCCTTACAAGCAAGCAAACTGAAAGGAGATGAAATAGAGTTAAAACTTACTTTAATAAAGCTTACTTCAGCCTTTCTTTGAAATTTCTTTATTCATCTCTTCACATCTAAGAAATGCAGGTATTTCATACGTGTATATATGTAGGTGGGCATCAATTATTTGATAGAAATATGTGTTCTCTGGGGTACCGAAAAAGGTATTGAATTGGATTGGAAGAGTCTTAGGTGAGAACATGGAGGAAGACTGCTGGCAGGGTGCTGAAGCTGAGAGCTGTGGTGTATGTTGAGGACTATAAAGCAAACATGTAGCCTCCCAGCCAAAAAGTGCATTTTTTGAAGTCCTGGGAATACCCTGATGAAACACAAAAGCGTAGAGCTGATGTATTATTCTACAGTTCAATAGTAATAGGAAATGCAAATGCATTTCAATGGCTTTTTTAATATGGAATTCTTTGACAAGATAGCTGTTGGAAGATACTAAATGCAGAAACAACCTTTTTCTCTAGCAGTATATTATTTTTCATTACAGTGTATTCCAGTTGCTTAAAAGCGAGACTGTTCCATTACTTTCTAGTTGGAGTCACGAAAAAGAGATGTTAGAGCTGAACCACCGATGGGCTGTGTGTGCTGATTTATTAGCTGAGCAGTTCTTCTCATTCTGCTTTCCTTAGCTTTGCATACGTGGAAGTAACATCAGCTGCTTATTCATGCTTTAGGTTTTGTATTGAGCTTTATGTACTGACAGCCTCACTTTTCAGAGTAGCCTGTGTGTGTTACATGTTAAACTGTTCAAGTTAGGTGATGTGAATCTGAGGTGTTAGAATTTTAGGAACTTGCCATGGAAGGGAAAACAGAATCTGGCTACCTAGTAAACAGAATTACAGTCTTGCCTTTTTTTATTTGAAATATTAGTTGTTACTGTCTAGTGATTGACGGCTCTGAGGTCTGGATAGAGAGCCAGCAATATGCAAGCAGACTTTCCTTTTCTGAAAGCAGTGTTTCTTCTCTGCCTCAAGAACTGAACTCATCTACTCCTACCAAATGCTGTGAACTGGTGTGTGTCATGATCGCATCATCTCATGCACAAAATTGTAACAGTATGACCGTTCCTAAATTAGAACAGAAGTCCTGTAGTCCTAAACTTCATTACCGTTGCTTTTGCCGTTACACAAACCTTTCTCCTTTGGGTGTAACTTCACTTCAGCAGGAGTGTTGAAGGTATTTGTACACTTAATGTAAAAATCCTTCGTGTGGTGCTGTTCTTATGTGGAGTTGCAGGTTTCTTTGAAGACCAGGCATTTGAGAATTACAGTGGGCTGCAGTGAGGTGAAGGATGGCAACAAACAAGCCCGGATTCCTTACTCACGTGGGCAAAGAAACTGTATTTTGTAGGAAGTGCTGCTACAGCTTGTGCTTCTGAAACCTGCTGTACTGGTCATTAGTCCTTGGCACCAGTGGCTGTTTCTCCATCTCTAACCTGAATCTTTAGTGCTTGTGCTGTCTGATGCCCTGGGAAGACCAAGCAAAGGCTGCACTCCATCTCCTTGCCAGCGCTGATGTACTCTGCTGTGTGGCTGGATTTTATTCAGGCATTACAGAAAGGAGGATCTGCTTCTGGTATATTTAGAATCATAGAATCACTCAGATTGAGAAAGACCTTAAAGATCATCGAGTTCAATCACAACCTAGCCATCCTACCCTAACTCTAACAACCCTCTGCTGAATCATGTCCCTGAGCACCACATCCAAACGGTTCTTAAACACATCCAGGGGTGGGGACTCAACCACCTCCCTGGGCAGCCCAATCCAGTGCTTAACAGCCCTTCCTATAAAGAAGCATTTCCTTATATCCAACCTAAACCTCCCCTGGCGTAACTTGAGGCCGTTTCCCCTTGTCACTATCGAAAAGAGAGCAACCCTGCTCTCACTGTAAGCACCTTTCAGGTATTTGAAGACAGCAATAATGCCTCCCCTCAGCCTCCATTCCCCCAGACTGAACAGCCCCAGTTCCTTCAGTCTCTCCTCACAGGCCATATTCTCCAAGCCCTTCCCCAGCCTTGTTGCCCTTCTCTGGACCTGCTCCAGCACCTCCATGTCCTTTCTGTGCTTTTGTATTGAAATGCTGCCAGGAACTTGATGACTTCAGAAATTGTCTATTTGTGCAATTCTGACCGTGGGCATTTAAAATGCTAAAGATGTTGCTGAGAATTTCTGCAGACAATTGGTACTGAATAACCCGAACAGGAAGAAGCTTGTAAGCAGTGATTAGATAAATGCACTAGCAGTTTTCTAAGATTGACATCAGTCAATACAGAGTTTTTGTTAAGCTTTTGACATAACGTTTTCATTAAGTCTGCCTGCTTCGACAGCACAGTTCATAGAGAAAGGCTGGGAAGAAGAGGAAGATGTTTGTAGAGACTGTTGATTTAATAAAGGCCAAATAAAAAAAGTAATAATATAGTTTCTGTTTGGAATAACTTCTGACTGGTACTATCAGCAGACCAGAAGGAATAGCGTTCCCTATTTAATCAATTAAATCTTGCTTGGATTGCTGTAGATAAGCAACTCCGGTTCTGTTTTCTTTGAATTCTCTTTTGAATTGGTTGTCAATAAGTTAATGAAGCTATGGCTGCACGCTGTATTTTCACAGATGGCTGGACTGGTTTATTTCAAGGCCTATACATCTCTGTCTCAGTGCTGAATCTGTTCCCTTCTTGTTAAATTGTGAACCATCTCACACAGGCATGTCTCAAAGCAGCATCTATGCGGCTTTGTGCTCAAGGCTGCAGCTGATCCTGGAATTCACGTATGCAACCATCATATTGATATAAACAGAGAAAAGTCAACATGGGGGAAAGGAAAAAAGGGTATTATGTATTCTGAGCACAAGATGCTGGAAGAGAGAGAAATCAAACATTACGAAACGTGAGGTAGTTCCAAGTTCTTTGTCTTAAGTCTTTTTACCAGGAATAATGCCATAATAACTGTTAATTGTGATACTGATTAAAGTATTTATCATACATCTATTGTATCTGGTAGTAACGCAAATGAGTTAATCAGTATTGTAGAACTGCCTTTCATTAAATACAGATGAGTAACAATCTAACTTACTTGATACTGTGGATCGTAGTGGTAATTATTTCATTATGATCACTTCTGTAGCTGTTATATTTTAATTGCAGAGGAAGTTTGCATAATTCCTGTTAATGCTAGTTGATGAACAAATAAGAAAAAAATCTTTTTCTATCTTGCATAACCCTCAGCTGGGTCTTCTGTGTTTAGCCAGCGATTATTAACTGGCTGTCCTTTGAAATACTAAATCTTTCAGTATCTTAACAAGCTATATGTAAAATAAATAGTAGCACGGAGTGTGCTTGTATTTGCTTGT